AAAAAAAAAAAAAAAAAAAATTAGCTGTGCACGGTGGCGTGCACCTGTAGTCCCAGCTACTCAGGAAGCTGAGGCAGAAGTATCGTTTGAACCCGGGAGGTGAAGGTTGCAGTGAGCCAAGATCACGCCATTGCACTCCAGCCTGGACGACAGAGCAAGACTTCATCTCAAAAATGAACAAACAAAAAGAACAAGCAAAGCACCTGATTATACAAAGCATCTTATTACATTCCTCCCACAGGAAGGCAGGATATAGTAATCAGAAACAGACAAAAGGAAAAAAAATGACTAGGAGCTTATATTTTTGCATAGATTTTTCTACCTGCTTTCACCCCTGTCCCTTCCCAGGCCTCCTGCTATTCTAGTTCTTGGTCACCAATTTTGCCTCATCCACAAATCTGTTCCACTTTCCCATAATCAGTAGTATCTAGAAGCTGAGTTTCCCAGGCAACTGCAAATATTTGTTGTTCTTTCTGCCATGTGACTTGCCCTAAAAATAAATTCAAATATTTTTCCTGCTATCAAAATTCCAGGAAGAATGTGAGTGGATATTGGTTTTTTTATGCCTACCTGTAAAACAGAGAAGGCCTAATGCTACTTAGCCAAAATTTTTAGGAATCCTAAGAAAGTCCTAAAATAGAAGATAATATAAAAAGCTGGGTGTTATCCTATTTTGAAAATGGGACAAGCAAAGAAGGGGTTGGGAAAACAGAATTAGAACAAGCTGATACACACATACTCACACAAACCCAGACCAGTAGAATTTGTTTTTCTTTTTAGAAAGAAAACTCCTTTTTAGAAAGGGAGTAGCAAAGAAAAGAGTACATGTTTGCTCTGAAGTTTAGTCAAGATTTTGCCACGTTCCTTTGAAATGCCCCCTTGATGTGCCAGCCAAGGACCCTTAGAGACATCCATTTGAAGCTGAAAGTACTTGAAAGCAATTAACAAAAAAGATTTGCTTTCTGGTCTCATGTGACTCTGGGGTGAGTGACCTTTTGGAAATCATGGACAAAGTCTCCATTTAGAGCTCCTATGGAGTGATGACCCCACTATACAAATCATTGTGAATTAGGGCGCTTCCAAATTAAACTAGATTCAGCAAACAGAACAGCTACAATGGTAACAATTATACTCATAAAACTACATTTAGATAGTCTCAAAAACAGTTTACAAAATTCATTTATGTCCACTCTCTTTTTTGATCTTCAAAGAAACTCCCTAGGACACAAAGGAAACACACACATACACACACACACACACACACACACACACACACACCCCACTCCCATTTTACAGGTGTGCAAAAGCTGAGGCTAAAGAACAAGGCAACTTACCCAACCTGTATGTGGCTGAGTGTAAAATTCAACCACGCCTTCTACTTCCAGTTCGGTATCTTTTTAACCTAGACATTCTCCTCCCATGCCTCCATCCCATTATCCCCAAGAATCCTGAAAACAATAGTGATCCAGATGGCCAGGAGCTGAAAAAGCAGCCTTAGAGCTTTTAGACAATCAATTCAGAAATAGATAAAAGAATAGAAAAACTTTTGGGGATGGGGGAACAACAGGAAGAGCTGAAATGAACTAATGCAGAATGAAGTCGATAAGGCAAGAGGGAAAATTCTCTCCTTTTTCCTTCACATCTTCCTTGTTCATCACCACCAAGCTCAGGCTCCAGGACTTCCCCAAATGGCCCTAACTCCTACACCCAATGCTAGGTTGTCTTTACCAGGTTCACGTGATTGCTCCGAAAATATTTTACCTAAACCTTCTAATTAGCCAGGAGCAAGTTTGCAATCTTTTCTTGGAACAACTAGCCCCAGTCATATTCATTTTTACTACCTCCTTTGACACATGTTCCTTATATGACATAGTCTCTGCATCCTTCTCCATTTTGGACATACCCACCCAATTTGCCAACATCTCACTTCAAACGAGATACAAAAAAGGAAATGTACTACCCATAAAGTGATTTCAGTTCTTCACTCAATAAATCAACCAAAAAGTAAATAAATATATACTGAATCACAGGAAATATTTTAGAATGATAGAATACTCTAAATCTTAATAGGGCAATTTAAAAAATGTTGGAGTAAACAAGGTGGTGAAAGTCAAGCACTTAGCACAGAGCCTGGCATATTAGTCCTTTATAGACCACTGCAAACCAATGCCTTCATGGCACTCTATCTGCAGTATTATCTTCAGCTCAGAGCAGTGTGTTTTGAGAGTAGCATTAACAACTTGGAGGCAGAAGTTCTAAAGAAGAGAAAGGAGTTTCTACTCACAGAACTCTCATCAATAATTTGTCCCTTTCTGTTCACCCTTATCCAGCTCTTACCTGCCCTGGTGAAGGCAGGACAGTCTTGCCTCCTGAGGCTGTGTCTCACCTAATTCCTGGAATATATTATGGACATTTTTGCCTCAGTGGGAGAGCACCTGAAAACCCACCATCACTCCCATGCCTGGGATTAAGTGTCCTGGAAGGAATTTAACATCACCTATGGGAAAATCTGGATAAACTTCCTTGGGTAAATCCATTTCAGAGTATATAACACAGTTGTGAACTTCTGTCTGGCTACCAAGGCCCTGGACCTCATTTTGTTTCCACCCTTAAGACTACAACCTGGCTTAAACTGTTGACCAAATTAGTAGGAGACTGGTTCCCTATGCTGATTTTATTTTTATTATTTTAAATTTTTGCAGGTACACAGTAGGTATCTATATTTATGGGGTACTTGAGATGTTTTGTTACAGGCATGCAATGCATAATAATCACATCAGGGTAAATGAGGTATCCATCACCTCAAGAATTTATCTTTTGTGTTACAAACAATCAAATTATACTCTTTTAGTTACTTTTAAATGTTCAATTAAATTATTACTGTCTATAGTCAACCTATTGCAAACCAATGCAATGGGTTTGATAGTACCCTGTTGTGCTGTCAAATACCAGGTCTTAGTCATTCTTTCTCATTATGTTTTGTACTCACTATCCATCCCCTCTTCCACTCTACCCCAGCCCCCACTACCCTTCCCAGGCTCTAGTAACCATCCTTCACTCTCTATCTCTCAGTTCAATTATTTTAATTTTTGGCTCTCACAAATAAGTGAGAACATGTAAAGTTCGTCTTTCTGTGCCTGACTTATTTCACTTAACATAATGACCTCCAGTTCTATCCATGTTATTACAAATGACAGGATTTTATTAGGTTTATGGCTGAATAGCAGGCCATTGTGTATATGAACCACATTTTCTTTATCCATTCATCTATCAATGGACAGTTAGGTTGCTTCCAAATCTTAGCTATTGTGAATAGTGCTGCAATAAACACGGGAGAGCAGATATCTCTTCTATATACAGATTTCCTTTCTTTTGGGTATGGGATAGCTGTGGGATTGCTGGATCCTATGTCTACACTGGTTTTAGTCCGTTTCTGTCCCATAAGGTCTGAATTCAGTTTCCCATGTCTCCATGGTGTTCACTAAGGCAGACTTCCCTGACCAATGACTTGGACGGAGACCAAGAATGTACTTCCCAGCTGCCCCTACAGCTGGACCCCATACCTAGGATCAAACCCCTTGAATATAGTCATGACCTGGGTCAAACATGAATTTGTTGCTGTCTTGGACACAATGATCTGAATTGCCTGGGGCAACTTCCTTTTAGTCTTCCATTTACAAAGAACTTCAGACACATTTCATGTCTATAGATATTCTATTTACACTGACAGGGAGAAAGGAAAAAAATTATGAAGACCAGACACACAGACTCATAAAGCAAAACAGTTGATAAAAGATTTAGTGTAGTGGCAAATAGTTCTAAAAACTTTAATAGACCTTAAGGTCATTGCTGTTGTATAACTTCATTTATTCATTCATGTACTCATTCAATATGTATGCGTGCACTGATTTGAATCATAGTTGCCTATAACATACTTGGCACTGTCAATATAAATATAATTAAGATTCATATTTATAGGGCTATATACTTATTCATACTTAAAGGGCCACAAAAATTAATGTTCAAAATGTCAATGTCATCATCTTGACCTATTAAAAGTTTTCCTATTTGGTATGTTCTGTTAAAGATGAGAAATATGCAATACACCTGAATAGATTATACAATTCCATCCAACATCAGTTATCATTGGCATAAAATATACGTGAGCTTCATTTCTGTGGGTATGTTTAGGTCTACAATACACCTCTGGCCCTCCTAGTTGTATGGGATTAGCCACACTTCGTCACATCTAAATTGAGAATAACAGTAGTTCTCACCTCATAATGAAATAATGTATACTAAGCGCTTATCATGGTGCCTGAAAAGCCCCCATTTACATTGTATTTTCCTTCTCAAATATGTACGATAGGTTTTGATCATGCAATTTAAATTAGGATCTTTCCTTTTTTTAAATCACCTTAGCACCTCCGCTTGGGCTTAATAGCTAAAGTTAAGTGAAAATGACCTTGAAAAAAAGACCCTGTAAAAGCAGTAACGAATAAGGACAACACACACACAAACCTAATTAAAAAGGAGGTAAATAGAAGTAGGCAGTTCAGAGTCCTAGAAATTATAATTTATGAGGAACGTCAAAACTATCACTTGCTAATGAAAAGAATTTGCAGCACATGAAACTCCTCAAATTGAAACTAAGCCAACTCCAGGATGCATTAATAAAATGACAGTATCCCCAGAGAAGACTAGCATGGCCCCTGTGCAAGGATGACATGCAAACTCATGAAGCATTCCATATTTTTCAGACACTTTTCTTTTTTTTTTTTTTTTTTTTTTTGAGACGGAGTTTCACTCATGTTACCCAGGCTGGAGTGCAATGGCGCGATCTCGGCTCACCACAACCTCCGCCTCCTGGGTTCAGGCAATTCTCCTGCCTCAGCCTCCTGAGTAGCTGGGATTACAGGCACGCGCCACTATGCCCAGCTAACTTTTTGTATTTTAGTAGAGACGGCGTTTCACCATGTTGACCAGGATGGTCTCGATCTCTTGACCTCGTGATCCACCCGCCTCGGCCTCCCAAAGTGCTGGGATTACAGGCTTGAGCCACCGCGCCTGGCCCAAGACACTTTTCAAAAGAAGACATTTGTGAGGCCAACAAACATATGAAAAAATGCTCATCATCACTAGTCATTAGAGAAATGCAAATCAAAACCACTTTGTGGTGACTGTGTCAAGTAAATCTATTGGCTCCACTTTTCCAACAGCATGTGCTCACTTTGTCTCTGTGATATATTTTGGTAATTCTTGCCATATGTAAAACTTTTTCTTTTTCTTTTTCTTTTTTTTTTTTTTTGAGATGAAGTCTCACTGTGTCATCAGGCTGGAGTGCAGTGGCATGATCTTGGCTCGCTGCAACCTTTGCCTCCCAGGTTCAAGCAATTCTCCTGCCTCAGCCTCCTGAGTAGCTGGGGTTACAGGCACCTACCACCACCCTCAGCTAATTTTTGTATTTTTAGTAGAGACGGGGTTTCACCATGTTGGCCAGGATGGTCTCAATCCCCTGACCTCGTGATCTACCCGCCTCGGCCTCCCAAAGTGCTAGGATTACAGGTGTGAGCCACAGATAGCCGTTATGTAGATCTGTGATCAGTATCTTTGATGGCACTATTGCAGTTGTTTTGGGATGCCATTAACTGCATGCAGATAAGGTGGCAAATTTAATAAACATTGTATATATTCTGACTGCTCCACTACCATCTTTTTTCTTGTCTCCATCATTCTCCATGGGCCTCCCTATTCCCTGAGACACAAATTACCAAATTAGGCCAATTAATAATGCTACAATGACCTCTAAGTGTTCAAGTGAAAGGAAGAGCCACACATTTCTCACTTGAAGTCAAAGCCTAGACGCAATTAAGCTTAGCAAGGAGGCATGTCCAAAGCTAAGCCAGGCCAAAAGCTAAGCTTCTTGCATAAAACAGCCAGGTTGCAAATGCAAAGAAAAACTATTTTAGAAAAGTAAACATACTACTCCAGTGAACACATAAATGATAGGAAAGAGAAACAAACTTATTGCTGATACGGAAAAAGTCTGAGTGGTCTGGATAGAAAATCAAACCAGCTACAACATTCCCTTAAGCCAAAGCCTAGGGTTTTGACCAGAGCAAAACCTTACCTCTCTTCAGTGGCTGAGAGAGGTGAGGAAACTGCAAAAAAAAGTCAGAAGCCAGGTTTAAGAAAAGAAGCCATCTCCATAATGTAAAAGTGCAAGGTGAAGCAGCAAGTGCCGATGGAGAAGCTGCAACGAGGTATCCAGAACCGCATGCTAAGATCACTGATGGAGGTGGCTACATCAACAACAAAATGTAGATGAAATAGCCTTCTTTTGGAAGAAGATGTCATCTAGAACTTTCATAGCTAGAGAGGTAAAATGCCTGGCTTCAAAGCTTCAAAAGGATAGGATGACTCTCTTGTTAAGGGATAATGAAGGTGGTGACTTTAAGCTGAAGCCATTGTTAATGGACAATTCTGAAAATCCTAGGGCCTTTAAGAATTATGTTAAATCTGCTCTGCCTGTGCTTTATAAATGGAAGAAAACGGCTGGATGACCACAACACACAGTAAGTAAACATACTGTTTACAGTATGGTTTACTGAATATTTTAAGCCCACTGTTGATGTCTGCTTCTCAGAAAAAAATAATCCTTTCAAAATATTACTGTCCATTGACAATGTACCTGGTCACCCAAGAGCTCTGATGAAGATACACAAGAATATAAATGTTGTTTTCATGCCTGCTAACACAACATCCATTCCATGGATCGAGGAGTGCTATGGTTTGGATGTTTGTCTCCTCCAAGCCTCATACTGAAATTTTATCCCCAATGTTGGAGGTGGGGTCAAATTGGAGGTGTTTGGTCATGAAGGCAGATCCCTCATGCATAATAGATCAATGACCTTCTTTGGGGGTGAGTGAGTTCTTACTCTAGTTTCCATTAGAACTGGTTGATTAAAAGAGTGTAGCACCAGCCCCTCTATACCTTGCTTCCTCTCTCGTCATGTGATCTCTGCACACTATGGCTCCCCTTCACCTTCTTTCAAGAGTGGAAGCAGCCTGAGGCCCTCACCAGATGCCCAATCTTGAGCTTTCAAGCCATCAGAATTGTGAGCCAAATAAACTTTTCTTTCTTTATCAATTGTCCTGTCTCTGGTATTCCTTTATAGCAACACAAAACAGACAAAGTAATTTTGACTTTCAAGTCTTATTTAAGAAATACATTTAGTAAGGCTATAGGTATCATACATAATGATTTTTCTGATGGATGTGGGAAAAGTAAACTGAAAGCCTGTTGGAAAAAAATTGGCCATTCTAGATGCCATTAAGAACATTCAGAATTCATGGGAGGAGGTCAAAATACCAACATTAACAGGAGTTTGGAAGAAGTTGACTCAAATCCTCATGAATGACTTGGAGGAGCTCAAGACTTCAGCAGAGAAATTGACTGCAGAAGTGATGGAAACAGCAGGAGAACTAGAATTAGAAGTGGAACCTGAAGATGTGAATGAATGCTGCAATCTCCTGATAAAACTTGAACAGGTGTGGAGTTGCTTCTTATGGATGAGCAAAGAACGTGGTTTCTTGAGATGGAACCTACTCCCAGGGAAGATACCATGAACATTGTTGAAATGACAGCAAAGGATTTAGAATATCATGTAAACTTGCTTGATGAAACAGCAGCAGTGCTTGAGGAAGATTGACTCCAATTTTGAAAGAAGTTCTACGTTAGTAAAATGTTAATCAAACAGCACCACGTGCTACAGAGAACTCTGTCATAAAAGGAAGTTATTCAATGTGGCAAATATCATTGTTGTCTTATTTTAAGAAATTACCACAGCGACTCCAACCTTCAGCAACCAACACCTGATAAGTCAGTAGCATAAACATCAAGGCAAGACTCTCCACCAGCAAAAAGAGTACCACTCATTGAAGGTTCAGATGATTGTTAGCATTTTTTAACTATAAAGTATTTTTAATTGAGGCACACTGTTTTTTAGACATAATGCTATTGTACACTTAATAGGTATAGTATAGTGTAAACATAACTTTTATATGCACTGGGAAACCAAAAAATTCGGTCTGGAACAAAACTTGCAATGTCTTTGAAGTATGTCTGTACTACAGGGAAGTAGGACTTTAGAGAGAAAATATATGGCCGGTAAAGCTAAAAAGAAGTCAGGAAAACTCTGGGAAGCTATCAGATACATGAAGGAATATCTAATGGGTAGCAGTTCTTGACTAACGGGGAAACATTTGTACCCCTAAAGAGCAAATGTGTCTGAGAAGCACATCTTCTCTCATGAAATAGGAGGACATCTCTAATTGTTCAGAGTTCATGCCCAGAGATACACTGGGGGACTAGTTTGGGATAAGTGGGAGACAGGAGTTTTTAGGAAAAGGTTAAATGTCATCAAGGTCCAAGAATTCATATAGGACATCACTAACAAGGGGCTGAAATGCTCTAGGAAGCTTGGTAGCAAGAAAAGGAGTGGGGCTCTTTCAAAAAGACAAGGGAACTGGGCACGCTCAGCCACCAACCAGTTGTGCAACTGGAGCACATTCCTTCCCACCTCAGGACTTCAGTATTTCTATCAATCATACACTGCTGAAATTTGGAAATTCTACTTTTAGGAATTGATCCTAAAGAAATTGTCAAAGATATAAAATGAGATTAATCCACAGAAGTTATAATATAATCATATGTTTAGAAAATAATTTGCAAATGTTTTTAAAAAATAATTTAGAAAATAACTGCAAGTTTCCCAAATGTTTCCCAAAAGGAAATGGTTAAATAGACATACGGTATATGTTCAAATGATGAAATATTACATGCAGCATTAAAAGATCGTATGGTAAAAGCCATTCAATTGTCACAACAAATTGTAAAGTAAAATTGAGGATTACAATTGGTATGCATAATATGGCCCCAAATTTGTGGAAAAATAAATGATAAAAAACAGTAAAATCCAGGGAGAGGGAACAAGACAAGGATGAAAAAGTCATATGACAGATTTATGAGTAGTAAACTTACACAAATTTTTATTTATTCTTTATATATTCTAAATTTTGTTATAAACTTTTATCATTTTTATAATTAAAACAGATAACAAATGCAATTAATTTCATTTTAATTAAGAGATCTGAGGATATTTAAGTCTCTTCCAGCACTAAAATCCATTGAGTCTTTTTAAAATGCCAAATGCATAGATACCTATACCACCTTTGAAATGTGATCTTCTACTCCTCCCCAACCTTAATCCTCCATTAGTTTTGCAAACAGATATGCTCTCTGAAGCCATAAGGCAGTTCTGGGAAGAGTAACAGCACGTAGGGGCCTGGAGTTTGGGCTGTCTTCACAATCTGAATCTTGGAGCAAGCTTTTTGAGAAACACACAATTGAAAAAGACCATACTTCCTGGTCCTGAAAGGCCTCTGACTTTTCTTTCACAGAAAATGTCTGCAGTCTAGATGGACATTAGCACCAGGAAGCTACACACCCTTCTGTAAATATTTCCATCTCTAAAAAGACTTCCTCTACCTGTGAAGTCTTTACTAACAACCTGCAACATTCACTGTGCCAAATGCCAGGGTCAATTCTCAGTTTCATCTTATTTTACCCATGAGCAGGATTAGACTCAGTTGAAACACTTTTCTCTGATGGTTCCCAGGACACCATACTCTCCTAGTTTATCCCCCTCCTCCCACTGCAACACATACTCACTCACACTCACACTCTCTTCTTGGA